TCAAAGCATTTCTCTGCATTTTTCAAGCTCTGGGTTGAAATGAAAAACTATTTTGCAAGCCGCCCCCTTCAGATGTACTTAGTGTGACCAATGGATCCATAATAGCAATGTTAAGCCAATATCATGTGTGTATGTGTGTGTGTGTGTGTGCGTCCGGAGGTTAGCATGGCATATTTGGCCTTGGAGGGTCAGCATTTGCAGGAAGAGATGGAGCGAGATTTTCTTCACTATTGAATGAAATAAAAATCTCAGGGCTGCATAATCCTCCCCATCACCTTTCATGAGCTTCCTCCCCTTCCTGCCCCATAGTCATGACCCACCCTTTGGAATCTGGAACCAAAACCTCTAAAGCCAGTGATTTCTAAACTCCTCAGACCCTCAGAGTCAAGCCTCAGCTGGTCTGATGCAGCCTTTTCTCCATTTGAAACCTCCAGCACCATGCTATTTACTGCAACAGAGGGAAATCCCAAAAACTCCACCTGCATGACTGTTCAAGCTCCCGGGGCACCTTCCAAAAGTGCCCTTGGCCAGGGCTGTCTTTCTCGGGTTGTCCTTCCACCACCTGTGCGACGTGTCTACCATGCAGTGTGCCAAGTTTGTCCAGTTGTAGTAGAGCTGGTCCAAATATTTAAAAAAATGAAACATCCCTGGAACTTTTGGTCCAAATTTTGAATTCCAACCACAAGTGGAGGAATGGGTAGGGGGAAGGAGATGCCTTTTTCATCCATGTTATTTGCCCTATTTCCATCCAGCTGAACAACAGATGTTAGTCATTAATGCTGTTGTGGTAACAAAAGGACTGTGTGCACCAGTGCCCTCTACTGGGATGAACCAGAGCCACCGAACTGTGTGTCAGAGGCCCTGCCCTGCAGGGAGCAAATATTTCTGTTTCAGAGGGTTGGGTGCCATCCATCTGGCCTTCTTTCCTCCTTGTTGCAATGCAAGTTTCAAGGGCCACCGCCTGCTGCTCACTGGGAACTAGAATGATTTTTTTCCTGCAGATTTAGTTTGTTATTCAACCAATGCATTTGCAACGTCTTTTGTAATAGGCACTGATAACAAGCATTCCTATTTCGAGCTGTTTTGCCTACTGATGCCTGGAGACCAAGTTCTGCAGTTAGCGGTGGTGTTTGCTGAAGGAACGTGCCAGATGTCCTACATGAAATCACTCTCAGACTCAGTTTTTGGGAGATCTTGGGGTGCGATTCTGAGATTCACTTCATGGCAACATGAACGCCGGCAAGCTCAGTTGTGTAAATGCAAATTGAGACTCAACAAATAAGACAAGACTAGCCCAAGAGAGTTGCCTGAAAAGCTCAAGCGTGAGTGGCAACCATAAACATTTTTAGGTGCCTTGGATTTGCTGACATGCCTCATGATTTCTTCCCTGTGGGGAAGAAGTTCTCAAGCCTGGCTTGCAAATAAACCTTGTTGTGAATGTACGTGTTGCTTTGGCCTGAAGGGTTATCTGTAAATGGATCCTGCTTTCTATGAATGTGTTGTAAAGCAAGACTTGGTGGTGTGGTATCTTTTATTGGACCCGCCACAAAGTTGGGGGAGATGTTAGACAAGTCTTTGGGCCCGAAATGTCTTTCCTCACAACACTGCAACACTACCAAGCTTATTATTTGGAACAGTTTATGTGAGAAAACTTCACCGGTTGTTATTCATCTATTTGTAATCTTTAATTAGTCACTGGGCCACTAGGTAGCAGTTGAAATAGCACGGTGATGGTAAGAGCAGAAGATCCTAGACAGATGCTATAGAGAGACATGCCATGAATTGTTACTGTCAGTAGAAGAAGGGTGTTTGTACCTGAAAGCTTGCAAAGAACAATTTTTCCAACTATTTGGTTGGTCGAATAAAAGAGATCACATCTACCCAAAGAGCCTAGCC